AGATATCTGCATCCATTGGATGTTGTGTTTGGAATCACCAGCTTCATTTTAAGGTGGTCAAACAAATTGCTTGAATTTATTCCTTTTTACACAATTTTCAAATTACCTTTTCTGCACTCCACATGTTTAACCTGTGCGCGCTCCAGTGGGGTGACAATCATCCCGTTTATGCTTTACTTTTTTTTTTTTTGAAAGACAGTCTGACCACTTCCTCGCTGTACAAGGTGACACTAAAGGCTGAGTTTTATAGTCGCGCTTTGGAACCCGCATTCGGCCGTGCGGCGTCGCGCTATGACCGCAGGAAAAACGAGGTTCAGACTCAGCAAGCTTTTGTGCGTCCTGGAGCACTACTTCACCTGCACTGACTGTCACCTCGCTGCGTCATGTGCCGCGGCGCGCGCTCCTCCTGCAGCAGGCAGTGTGGTCAGTCAGTTGGCCGGCATCCGACCGGAGGACGTGCCGTCACATAAATATGTAAACAGTTCGGTGTTCATTTTCGCACACTCGAACCAGGTCCGGTTCGGGTGTTTTTTTTCCACCCTCCTCATTTGCGCTCTCAGCCACGCTGCTTCCTCTGATTTGACTCCAGCTGGTTAAGTCATCAAAAACAATTGCTCGGTTGGCCAGTAGACTACAGATCTCTATCATAGGACAAATTTATATTGTTTCTACCATATAACGTTTGTATCGCGCATTCCTAGTTATGGTCCCCCCTCCCCCTCTTCATTTGAGCTCTCAGCCTCGCTGCGTCACCATGTGCCGCTGCGCGCTCTCCTCCCACTGCAGGCGCACCGTCACGTAAACATGTAAACAGTGGTCCGATAAGTTATGTTTTTTCCCCTCTTCATTTGCGCTGTCAGTCACGTTGCTTCCCGCTTCCTCTGTTTTGACTCCAGCTGGTTACATCATCAAAAACAAATGCGCGGTTGGCCGGTAGACAACAGATCTCTATCATAGGACAAATTTATATCGTTTCTACTGTATAGGGTTGGGCAATATTGGCAAAAAAATAAATCACGATTAATTGTGGTATTTGGCCGATAATGATTAATTTGACGATTAATCTCCTGGAGTCCCTGGACACCCTTATTTCATAGTCACATGACCAATTTAGTGGGAAAGATTTGCTCTTCATAAAAATCTGTTCCAAATTGTGTGAAAACTACAGACTTCAGACTATACATCATATTTTAAATTGTGTTGATGGATAAATAAGTTACAGAACTTTTTTTAAAGTTTGTCATATTTGAAGCTGAGAGGAGCAGCGAGCGGATTCTACCTGGTGGCATTAATCGTATTAATTGTCAAGTGCCAAAAATTAATCAATTAATGTTTTTCTGACGATTAATCACACACGATACGATTATGCCCAACCCTACTACCGTATATYGTTTATATCACGCATTCCTAATGGTGAGTTAACAACAGTAAATGAGCATTTGCTGACATTTTATTGCATAAAAAGGTAATATTTCTCTTGATTTGTGTATATTTTTTTTAAAAAACTTGCTGTCAGTGAGCATTACTCAGTGAGTAGTTTTTTTTTTACTCCGTGCATGGGTGGGGCATGTCCAGTGGGTGATCAGACAAAATGAGCAACAGCTGGATAATCCTTCGACTGGGGTSAATAAAAGGCCACCTCAAAATGTCAATTTTGTCACAAGTCATAATGCCTCAGATGTCGCAAGTTATGCGGGAGCGTGCCATTGGCATGTTGGATGCAGGGATGTCTACCAGAGCAGCAGCTGCAAGGAATTCCTTCAAACAGAGGACAGTGAAGTTCTGGACTGGCCTGCATATTCACCAGACATGTCCCCAAYAGARCATCTTTGGATGTTCTGGATAGGCATGTCCAGGACCATGTTCCAGTTCCAGGCAATGTGGGTCAGCTTCGCATGGCACTCCAGGAGGAATGGAGTAACATTCCACAGGCCACCATAGACAATCTGATCAACTCCATGTGAAAAAGATGTGTTGCTCTGAGAGACGCAGCTGGTGGACACACAAGATATTGAAAAATCAAATTCCTCAACCTGACCCCTATCATGTTCAAAGGACTGTCAATCCACTACAAATGGCCATAYCACGATGTTATCAATGCTGATATGAAGATCAGTAATTAYTGAGAATATGTTTTGAGTTTCTCTATATGTTGCGTAACACAAATGTTCATAAAACTCTTGTATTTGACATGGGGCGTTTATATTTTTGTTAAGTKTAGAAGCCAYWKAAATTTAAACATCACCTCACATTTMATGATTATTCGGTGTGGTGCATTCAAAACCTGGGAATCATCATACCTCTGGAGTTTGAGGTGGGGTCTTCATCCTCCTCTGCTGCGCTATGAAACGAATGAGGGAATTCGTTTCTGGGGAGCCCCGGACACCAACGGTGGATCTTCGCCTTGCCTTAAGTTGTGCAAGACGGGTCTTATCTAAAGGAAGAAGATCGAAGTTTCAGGAAAACGTCTGTGGTACCAAATGCAAAAAAAATACAAACTTCCTTTTGACCTTTGTACTCAGCAGTGAAACAATGTTTCTTCTTAAATGGKTAAGAAACATTTACAGGCCACTTTTTTTTCTTTATTTTACAGTAGTGCGTTTTCTTTAAAGCCAAATAAAGATAGTGCTGTGAGACATCCAAGTTCACCTTTCCTCTGTTTTGCATTGAACGTTTCTGCAATCAATTGTAAGATAATGTGTTTTAATGGTTACTGAATGTAAACTTTATCATAGGAGAGACCTTATAGTACTGACGCCTCAGTTCCCATTATCACACTACAGGACCAAGCTCATTCATTTATTAAAGTGATGGAGAAATATTTTATTCAGCTTTAATCTCCAAACTGCTCATTTGCAGTTTTGTCACTGATCATTGATTATGACAAAGAATGAATAACAACCTCTTTTTTAAACACAATCTAAGCATGRTGAGTAATGAATTGAACTGGTGCTGATTATTAAACTACATCGTACTGAAATCATGAACAATCTAACAGCCAGCTGGAACAGAGAGTCCACCAATCAGTCTCATAATACTTCTGTCACATAGGCTCAATGAATCACGAGGCTTTACCTGGCATGTTTCGTGTCAGAGGAGCGCAATCCTGAGTTAGGCACTTCAATAAATACATTGTCCTGCCCTAACAGTGTCGCTGTTACCAGGTGAATTTCAGTCACTCGTTTAAAATGCCTAGACCCCCCATATCACCTTGAAATCTATCTAAATGTTTTACCTAATTTGTTGTCTGCTTTGGTTCGAAAAATTGTTGAGAAATTCTGGCTCGCTCCRTGACTGTGGGGCTCCGCATTTTTAGTTCTTTTGGGGTTTGTGCAAGTAATGCAGGACTTGAGTCCTAATTTTTCAACCTTTCATGAGCTCTAAATCCTGAATGGGCAGTCTGATTATAAATAACTAATCTGTTTTGGAATCAGTGCATAGAGCCTTTCAAGTAAAAAAATAAATAAATAAAGGGGGGGGGG